GAAGTTTGGATTGTAAAAGATGAGATGGATAGATTTCATATTTTCATTGCAGATTGTTTTTTTTTTCCTTTTTCAAACTGCTGAGCATAATTTTTTTAAGGCAGGAAATGCAGCTAGTGTTTGTTTCTAACATGGCTTCTGTTTTGAGATTTCTTCTTTGTAGGAGAAATGTGTTGCCCAGCTGTCTAGAATCCCAATAAGGATATGGTTTCAGCATGAGCTATCTTACAAGAATTATTTTAGCTGCTTATAAACGGAATAAAAACAAGGCTAGGATGTTTCGTCCAATTTTTATCCACGGAAGAGATACTGTTGTTTAGTCCAATTGGGACAAATATGAAGAAGTGATGTAAAGTTTAGTTCTGTGCTCTGCCTAGTTAAATTTGTCAATAAGCAGAGTCCTTAAAGATTCTTTGAAACAAAAATTATGAGGCAGCTAGCTAAAATAACTAGTTAACACATAAAAGTGCTGTTCCACCTGAACTTATAAACAGTTTAATGCTTACCACTCTTAATTTATCTAACTACAGCATTCAGACATGTACATATACCCACTCTTTCTTACACACACACACACACCCACACACACCCACAGAGAGAGAGAGAGAGAGAGAGAGAGAGAGAGAGAGAGAGAGAGAGAGAGAGAGAGAGAGAGGTACACACATACACAGGTATTCACACACATACATGCTTGTTTCACAGTTATTAACATAAATAGCACTTGTTAAAGAAATAGAACAATAGCCAAATAGACTGGAAATTGGTCCAGATCAGAGTCCCGTTTCCAGCGTCTGTGCTGTGTGGCTCATGATGGCCTCTAAGCTTCAGCTCCAGCAAGATCCAATGCCTTGTTTTGGACAATGGGCGCAAGCCCTCACATTTACATACCTACACATAAGCTCACAATTAAAAGCAATAGACTTATCATTTTTTCAAAAGCAAGAAAGATTCAAATCTAACCCTGCATAGAGATTTGTGGAAGAAGGAGACGTTTCAACCCCTTTATCCTAGTTTTTGAGCCTGAGACTTTCGGGCTTTAATGTTTCTTAGTATAAAGTGCCTGTCTCACATTTGATTATATTCTCTCTAAAAAACAGTATTAAATCAGTGGGTCTTAACATACATGGGGTTTTTGATGGTGAATGATAAATACAAATATACTATTATAAATTAAACTTCTGAGTATGAGGAGAACACAGAGGAGAACACAGAAGGCTTCCTGAAGAAGATAATTATAATTTGGACCTTGAAAAATAAGAAAAAACAATGGCCATTTTCCAGAAAACTTGGGTGTGCAGAATGAGAAAGAAAAGATAGGAGGACATTGAAAGTAAAAAGAATATGTGAAAATACTGCAAATCAGCAGCATGCAAATGTTTGAGGACTGAGGATGCATTGTGGACTGCAGTGCTCAGTGCTCCAGCACATGTGAACATGTGGGAACCAGAGTTCAACATCTAGCACTGTGGAAACAAAAGACACGACTGTAAACAAAAGCAGTATAAAGGAGAACCAGAGGACCTGGTACTAGCTAGAAGCAAGCTATGAAACCAACATCACAAGGAATTTAAGTTTTTCTGAAGACATCACTAACTATTTTTAATTTGGAGGAAACCATACATGAATCTGTCACATTGCTCAAAGAATATCACATACGTCATTTAATTTTATTCTTTAAAATATTTTTTAATTTTTATTTTTGTATCTTATACATGTATGGGTGTTCAGCTATAAGTATGTGTGTACCATGTGTGTGTTGGTACCCAGGAATACTATAGGAGGGTGTTAGATTCCTGGAAACTAAAGTTACAAGCAGTTGTGAACCTCCTGATGTGGATGTTGGAAACTGAATCTGGGTCCTCTACAAGAGCAGGAAGTGAGTGTAACTGTTAACTTGTCTCTCCAGCCCTGTTTGATTCTATTCTGTTCCCACAAAGTTTTCCAAAGCTCTACCCTCCATCCCACTAATTTTAAAAAGAAGGAAAGAAAGAGAAAAAGGAAGGAAGGAAGGAAGGAAGGAAGGAAGGAAGGAAGGAAGGAAGGAAGACATATAAGCACATACTGTTTAAATAAGATGTCAAGGACAAAGCATCTTAAGGATAGCTGGCCTATGCCCTATTTGTCTGGTTATGAGATGTATAAACTATTTAGAGACCATCCTAAGATCATTTAGGTCCCCTACTTTTTCTTTTTCTCATTTTTTTTTTGATTTTATTTCTTCACTAACATACTTTCTAAGAGTAGCTTCAGGCTCTTGGAAAAGTTGAGCAGTGAGTACAGTTACCATGAACTTTCGCACACAGCTGAGTGAAGTAACATGGTCACAACTGCTGAGGCAGTGTTGATATCTTATTTTTGACTGCAGCCATTGTCTATGTTAGCATTCACTCTGTGTGTTGTATTTTTTATGGTTTTGCTAAGTATCTAATAACATATATGTGCAATGCTTATGCCACACAAATTCTTTAACTGCTCTTAAATTCACTAATCTCATCTTCTTTCTCAAATTCCTTGTTAGCACTAATCTTTCACTATCTGTTTTTTTATTATTTATTTATTTATTTATTTATTTATTTTTTATTGGATGATTTATTTACATTTCCTATGTTGTCCCCTTACCCCATCCCCCACCACCCCCACGGAACCCCCAATCCCCTCGCCCCTCCTCCTTCTTCTCTGTGGATGTAACCTCTATCTACCCCCCCACACTCCCACCTCCCCACCCTCAAAAGTCCCACCCCCTGGGGCATCCAGCCTTCATGAGGTCAAGGTTCACTTCTTCCACCTATGCCCAGCAGGGCCCTCCACTTTTACATATTCAGCTGAAGCCCTGGATCCCCCCCTAAGTGCTCCCAGGCTGGTGGTTTAGACCCTGGGAGCTGTGGTTGGTTGGTATTGTTGCTCTCCTCATGGTGCCACAAACCCTTTCAGCTCCTTCAGTCTTCACTCTAACTCCTCTATTGAGAACCCCATGATCAGTTCAATGGCTAGTTGTGCCATTGAACAACATCTGCCTCTGAATATGTCTGACTCTTGAAGGCCTCTGAGGAGATATCCATATCAGGCTCTTATCAGCATGCACTTCCTGTCTTCCACATCAGCATCTACCTTTGGTGATTGCACATGGGATAGATACTAAACCCAGGATAGCGAAAACTATTCTCAACAATAAAAGAACTTCTGGAGGAATCACCATCCCTGACTTCAAGCTGTACTACAGAGCAATAGTGATAAAAACTACCTGGTATTGGTACAGAGACAGGCAGGAAGATCAATGGAATAGAATTGAAGACCCAGAAATGAACCCACACTCCTATGGTCACTTGATCTTTGACAAAGGAGCTAAAACTGTCCAGTGGAAAAAGGACAGCATTTTCAACAAATGGTGCTGGTTCAACTGGAAGACAACATGTAGAAGAATGAAAATTGATCCATTCTTATCCCCTTGTACAAAGCTCAAGTCTAAGTGGATAAAGGACCTCCACATAAAACCAGATACACTGAAACTAATAGAAGAGAAGGTGGGGAAAAGCCTCGAATACTTGGGCACAGGGGAAAAGTTCCTGAACAGAACTCCAATGGCATATGCTCTAAGATCGAGAATTGACAAATGGGACTTCATAAAATTGCAAAGTTTCTGTAAGGCAAAGGACACTGTCAATAGGACAAAACGACAACCAACAAATTGGGAAAAGATCTTTACCAATCCTTCATCTGATAGAGGGCTAATATCCAATATATACAAAGAACTCAAGAAATTAGACTCCAGATAACCAAATTACCCTATTAAAAAATGGGGTATAGAGCTTAACAAAGAATTTTCAACGGAAGAAACTCGAATGGCAGAGAAGCATCTAAAGAAATGTTCAGCATCCTTAGTCGTCAGGGAAATCTTTCACTATCTGTATAGTTTTCCTGGAGTACTGTATAGTTTACTGTATTTTTTTTTGAGGGGGAGGAATCATCCATTCAGGATTGTACATTTAAAGTCCCCCCAATTCTATTCATGACTTAATAGGTGGTTTCACTTTATCACAGTAATATTCCTTTATATAGATTTATCACATTTTAAATTCATTCACCTATTGATATTTTGTTACCCTTAAGTTTTTATCCATCCCTCTTTGGGGATTGAACCCAGGGTACATTTTGCATGCTAGGTGGATTTCTAATCCTCAAGCTATATCTGAACCCTATCTTCAAGCTTTGCCAATTAGGAGTAAAGTTGTAAGTATTTGTGTGCAGAGTTTTGTTTGGGAATAACAGGCAGTGCAGGGAGGCTGTATCAGATGGTAAGAACTCATTCATTTACATAAAAGCTTACTACAATGTCCTCCAAAATGAAGTGCTATTATATTTCCACTGAACAGGTTATCTCGTTTTTTGGTTTATATTTCTTTAATAACATACACATCTTTCAGGTTTTTTTAAAAAATACTTATGTTTTCCATTATTTTTTTTGCGTCATTAACACATATCAAGTGCTCATCATATGCTAGTTACAGGTTTTCTTTTAAAAATACTTTTATTTATTTTATATATATGATGAGTACACTGTTGCTGTTAGACACACCAGAAGAGGGCATCGGATCCCATTACAGATGGTTGTGAGCCACCATGTGGTTGCTGGGAATTGAACTCAGAACCTTTGAAAGAGCAGTCAGTGCTCTTAACCCCTGAGCCATCTCTCCAGCCCCTAGTTACAGGTTTTCAAAGCGTGACTATTTTTCTTTATTTTTTCTTCTCTTTTCTATACTTTGCTTTATTCTACTCATTATTTATTTTACCTGAGATATTAAGTTTACTTTCTATTCTATGTAACTCCAGGTAAAATGATAATTAATTTTTTATCTAATGAAAATTTGTAATTTCCAAATTTATGCACTTTCTCATCCCAACCCCCAAATCATTTACTGCTGTGTGATCATCGTGTACAGCAGAGTCTGTGTGCTGGTAAAGATGTAACTCCTGAAAAACATCTGAAGGAAAGAAATTCTTACCTTGGTTGACGATAAATCTTAACTTCTGTATTGTTGCAAGATTGCCACTAACTCGATATATTCCATCAACGTCTAGGCCTAAAATCAAAACAGCAAATTTTACATTAGCACATCGAAGAACTGAGAAGGTAGACGATAAGGAAGTGAATACCACCGACTGCTAAATACCCCTTCTCCACAGACAAGTTTCTGTGATCTCACATAGAGCAATGTTCAAAAGTTTGATCCCAATTTTTAATCATAAGGTGCTGAGACAATTGGCATCAAATATGTTTCATTAAAGCAACAGCAATAAAAAAAAATACCCATGACATTGCATGGCAAACATGGCATATTTACCATTATTCCCAAGGCAAGCAAGAAGCAAAGTGGAACGGAAATGAACTTGTGTGTGTGTGTGTGTGTATGACTGCCTTTGTTTGGAAAGATAAAATAATTAGGCATTTGTAAATTGTTTTCTTCTCTTTGTTCTCATTTTGTCCATTTCTTTTTATCCTTCCACCCTTCTCTTCATTCCTAATGGTGCCCATTATCTGTTGTGATCATGGTCACATGACAAGTATTGGCCTATTGTTTGACCTACAGAGTGAAATATTATTCTACATATGGATAGTTTCTAGCATGTTCACATAAGATATTGCATCATAGAAGGAAAATACAGGAAAATCTTGGCCTATTGGTATGTTATTTTCAGATAGTTTAGAACTGGTCATCAAAGTAACTTAACTTGGCCAGGAACTTGGATAATCACTCATTTGGCTTTTAACACATTTGCTTATCATGTCTAATTATTTTCATGACCAAGTCCCCAGGATTATTAAGAAATGAGAAAATATAAAGATATACTTATTAATGTACTATCATTCTATCCAATAAAGGTTAATTTTATAATTTTTGTGTTAGGAGTACATCTGCTCTCCTGTCTGTAGGCTTTCAGAAAAGCTTGGGTGAGATTACTGGCCAAGAACATGGGCCATTATTCCAGCATCTTCTCCAGAGAGGTGGTGTTAAATCATTGTTAATTGCTGTGGTTCATGATAGTAAATGTTAAATAGACTGAAGGAAATTCACACTGTTTTGTAACAAGGACATTACAAAGATCTTTAATGGCATGGAATGAGTTCTTTCTCTGCTTTGTCATTTCTATATTTATACTTTATACATTTTAAACTAAGACTTTTGTGTTGGATAATTCATTTCTTCAGTAGTTTATAGGAGAGTGACTTAATTTATATCACTGGAATTGGTGACATACTGCAGAGCCAACATTGCCTGTAGTCCGAACTCTTCTATGTAATAAACTAGCAACAATAGCAATAATGTAAAAATGCTATTAGCAAATGTACTAGTTGTAGTGAGTTGGGAGTTCCAGAGAGAGCTAATGGACTATACATTACTGAGACATTTTCCCTTCTTGAGTATATTTTTATAAATATCAAAGATTTTTTTCAATGTCTAAACTACCTTCATTCATGTAAAGGGATGTAAGGGTTTGTGTTTACAAAATGCAATTCACGTTTGACATCTTAAACATGAAAATCATCACAATTCAAACCTTTCTAATATTTGATTTCTGCTTTTACTATGGGATCCAATTGTCCTCATGATTATGCTTTTAAGCTCAGAATGTTAAAAGGTTGATTTAGAATGATTTATTGACCAAATTTACCTAAATGTTCCTATTGTTTCATTAGACAATGCTTGGCATTTTGTCTTAATCTGAAAATCTTTAAATAATTTGCTATTTTTTTAAAGCATTAAAATTTGGTTTTAAAAGTTAACAGAATTTGTACATTATAGTATATTCTTTTCAAAAATTTTCTTATATTCTGAACATGTAAACAACAATAATTCAACTAGTTTTGAATTCTCTGAAGTCATTATACGTGGTCTTATACAGTGTATAGAACAAAGTTCACGGTAGCAATTTGGGGGCTATTTAGAAAGGGTTGGAATTTAGACGTAGCCAAATATCATTCAGAACTAAGATTTTAGAATAATTTCACCTGTCTACCAATATAAAATTTGAGCGAATGAAGATTACCCTAACTTTTCTATAGGTTATACATTGCTTTAAAGAAATTCAGAGGAAAAATATTTTTAGAAAAGAGAAACATCAATAAACTATGTGGATCTATGTTCTCCAAATGAGAGGTTTCAATGCACATTAAAAAATCATAGTGATATTAGTTGAGAGAATTATGGAAGATGAAAAGTTAGTTCATATCTAGTAGAAATAAATACATTGATTGGGTATTTATTTGTTTTGCCAATTAGGTGATGTCAAAGATAAGTGAAAACAAATTCCAACGCAATTTAATATAAATCAGGACTTTCCTTAAGCTCATTTTTGATACACATATCTTTAAAATACAACATAAAATGAAATACTTTTTTACTTATTGTCTAAGGCTCATAGTATTCTATCTTAGATGTGTTTGAAGTGTATGTTGTCTTCGGCTGCAGAGTGAACTTGAACCACTGAAACTCCTGCGTCCCAGGCTTTTGTATGTTGAAGCTGCAGCCTTCGTCCTTTAGAAATTTCTGCAGAAATATTTTTTATTTATAATTTTTTAAATGTTTTCTTAAAGTTCAGTAACTGAAACCATTTGAAAAGAGTAGTGTAGATTGAATATCTATTACATAGGAACAATTGAAATGCATTGTAGTGTTTAAAGAAAGCAGCCTTATCCTAAATGAATGACCCATTTTCTCTTGGGACGAAAGCAGGGTGTGTTGGTGATGGAGACGGAGAGGGTAATTCAGACCTGTGCCACTTCTGTGGTTGGGTGACTGAGTCATAGCTGAGAAACTTTGTGGCTTCAGCTAGAAACTAGAGAGGAGGGGGAGTAAAAAAAACCATATTAGATGTAGTACAAATGTAATGGCACAGCTTCTAAGCCCTGGAGATTTAGAGATATGAATATCATCTATCTTGCAAATAATAACAATCTCCGAGTTTAGTGGCTCCTCCTTTGGATGGGTTCTACCCCCTGCTATCATACGTTTTAAGTTTTGTAAGTAGAGAGAAAATGATAAAGTGCATATTAGAAAGCAGAGCACTGCATTAAAAATAATCTGGAGCCTATCAGTGAAGTTCAGTAATTATAAATTATCTAGGTACAGACTTGATGTTGATTAGCTCTCCCCCAAATGGCTCACAGAAGGGCAGCCTTGGAATCCCGAGAGCATTATCTGAATTGGAATTATTCACGTGTCAGTCCCTTTTTACTCCAAGAACTTTGAAAGTTTTGCCAAACCAAACCAATGTAAATTGGTGGCTTTGGACATCCTTTTCATGACCACATTATCCTTGCTGGATTGGGAACTACTCATTTTGGAAATAAAGTTAGACTTGGTATGAGGTTTAAATGAGTGGTGTCTTCAAGGTGCCCACACTGTGCTTTGGTGAAGGTTGAGACAAATTACTCTGAGAGTGAGCTCTTTTCAGTAAATACCATGAGTGGATACTGCCAGAGGGTTTTGTTTGCTGTGCTAGGAATACATTGGGAACATGATGAGAGCAAGTCATTGCACTTTTGTTTAAAACAAATCAGACTGGAATGAAGGGGATTACAAAGATTTCTCAGAAGAGAACCACATTCTCTGAAGCATCCTCTGCTTACTCAACAGCTGACATTTTATGTTTCAGAACAACGGTTACCCATTGGTGGAAGTCACCGGGTGTTGCTGGAGTGGATTTAAAAAAGTTGTTCCCTCATTTTTCTACTGTAGAAGCCTAAGCCTGGGTAGACTTAGTTCAGCCACAGTGCTGGCAAGGTCCTGAGAAGGAGGGGCTGAATTTCGTTTTGTCTTAAGTAACAGCCACGTGTGGCAAGTTCAACAGTACAGCAAGGACAGCACAAGCAGCATTCATACCCGTTGTTAGCCTCTCTTGGCTTCACGTTGAAGAATGCTTTTTGATTCATAAATGTTTCTAAATGATAATTTGTAAAAAACTAAATCATCACAATGACTGTTTTCTTTTGCTTCATAACTGACAACATGAATATTTGTCTCAGTTTCATGAGGCTTTTACTTTCTCTGAGATCAAGTGGACAATTTTGGAGAAATTGCCTTTTTCCTCTGTCAAAGATTTATTTTAAATTATCATTAAACTGTAGCATCAAAATTTCTCTAAGAAATGCTCTACACCTGGGCCTCTTCAAACTAATGTCGTTTTGTTTTATTCCTTAATACCTGCCTATCTACTGTCTCTTTCACTGAATCCTTATTGCTCTAAGGATTAAACCCAGATCAAACCATTGTGCATGGTAGACAAGCACTCTGTGACTAAACAATGTCCTTAGCTCCCCTTTCTCTGTACACAGAGTTTCTTTATGATGGTTGGTATTCAAGCATCTGGTTACTCCTGTGATTAAAAGACAGAATTACCTAAACAGTGGACATGTGTGCAGTTGTACAGGTTGTACATCATCTGAAAATCTGTAATCTGAAATGCACCAATGCCTGAAATTCAACTTTGAATTTCAAATGAATCCATAGGTGAAGTTCCATACTACATATGCACCTACCCTCAGACCACATGTATAGCTATATACAAGATATAACTGTTCTAAGTGCAGAGTTGGATTCCTTTGTCATGATATCTATCACCTACAGGCAAATTTTCTAAAGCTTCCAAATAGTCAGAAATCAAAAAAAGGTTTCATCTCAAACATTTTATGTGAGGAATAATCTATATCTGGACAGATATATTTTGTTTCCTCATGGCTGAGTGGTAGCTTTCTGTAAGACCAGAGGGTCTGTAAGACCCGCCTAGCTCCACAATGGAGGGCTCAACTGTATAGAGAGCATGTTACATTGCTCTAAGGCAAAACTTCTGTTGTAGAACACAAGGGCACTTGGTTCTTCACTGCCCTCTTCAGAGGCTTCTTCACAGCATGAGATGAGCATGAGGACCACTGTTCTGTGAACAGATTAGATGTTATAATTCACTGACTTCCTTATCTAGTGACCTTTTGCCAATTTCTGCTTATTATATATGTTGACTCAAAATTAGGATATTCTGTGGGATTTCCTTGGAATAAATGGTGCCTATTAATGTTGTCTGTGAA